TCACTTGGCCAGCATCATTCTGACAAACTCCTCATAGTTCACTTGACCATCACCATCCAAATCAGCTTCTCGTATCATTTCATCCACTTCTTCATCTGTCAATTTTTCTCCAAGATTTGTCATAACATGCCGAAGCTGCATAGTTACAGAAAAACACCCATGAGAAATCAAAAAAGCAGTCAGTGCTTACATTCACCAGATAAGAAACATCACATTTTATATATCTAGTTGTGCTTACAGTCACCAAATAAGAACATCACATATTATATATGTGGTAGATTTCTACTATTTATCTCCATAACAACAAAAAATGTGGCTAGAGAAGAGGGTGCAACATGTTGATCCAAGAAACTACTCTTTTCATACCTCTGCAGCAGAAATAAATCCGTTCTGATCCTTATCAAAAACCTTGAAAGCTTCTTTCAGTTCCTCCTCTGAATCAGTATCCTAAGCAAAAATAATCAATAAATGGGTAAATAAATAATGAGCTGTGATTAAAAATACTGAAAGCTAAAATTTCATTTATTTTTTAAAGTCAAAATCACAAAACTACACACAAGTAGTAAGAACCAGAATCATTAACCATACTCGTGGCAATGGAACAAATAACCTGCAGCCCATCATGAATTATCAGCAAATTAAATCAGGATTTTCATATGTAAACAGAAAACAATTGAATGATTCACGTTGATAAAATAATGCAAGAAAAAAAGATGCAGAACACTGGAATTTCAAAGTTAAAGACTAGTTGTTAGCATGGCAATGGAGCAGTTAACTCTAAGCTGATATGGTCAGATGGAATACACTATTTTCTCTAACAGTCAAACGATGCACAGTAGAATTGGATCTCAATAATGTAAACAACACAAGCCTCTATGGAAGTGAGTGCACTATGTTTAATGACTCCAGCAAGTATATTCATAACCAATTTACTTAAATGAGATGTGGCAATTGCCAGAAAGTTCCACGAAACAAAGCACATTCTGCTGTTGAAAGAAAGAACAATGACAAGTATCCTGTAGGCTTGTACGCACCTTCATTTTGCGTGCCATCAAATTTAGAAACTCAGGGAAGTCAATAGTTCCATTTTGATCAGCATCAACCTCACTTATCATATCTTGCAGTTCAGCTTCAGTAGGATTTTGTCCAAGGGATCTCATCACTGTCCCCAACTCTTTGGTAGTGATGCAGCCTATACAAAGAAGTCATACATTAACGAACCAAGCCTAATTTCTAACAAGGTCATGCTAGACCAAACACACAGTTTAAAACAATGATTGTACCAAAAACAGGAAGCCATCTAGTGTGGAAAAAGGGAAAGGTTTGTGTTTGATGAAAAATTCAGCAGAATTTCACAATCATAAACTGAAACAACCAGAGCGAAAACTCCAATCTCTTCAGGCACAAGCTTAAGTTTTTGAATCGCTCAGATTGTTATGAGTACTGGTTGGTCTCTACAGTTAAATACCACCACTAGCAATGTATTTGCAATGCATTTCTTACCGGATCTGGGATTGAGACCTCACATAAACCTTCACTATACAATTAACCAAACAAAACATGTGCATTTTCATAAACAGGGATTGGAAAGCAGAAATCAAGTTAATACTAAACCCAAACTCAAAAAACTAGCCATTCGAGTAAACTCAAAAGAGCACAAAATCGCCAAAAACAAAGAAGGAATATTTAACTAAACTAAAAAAAGCACGAATAAGTATCAAAGTCGAATCGAAGGAACAGCGAATGAACAAACCTTCAAAAAAATATTAAAAAAAATAGAGAAGAAACTACATAGATTCAGTGCAGATCGCATAAAAAAGTGAAGTCGAGAGAGAGAAAATATAGATGCTACATACCGTCGCCGTCCTTGTCGAAGAGGCTAAACGCCTCCTTGAACTCGGCGATCTGCTCCTCCGTGAGTTGCTCCGCCATTGTCGAAGTTGAAGGTTGGAGAATGGAGGGTCTCTTTTGGTCTTCGTATCGTAGACTGAAATTCCCGTGTGATGATGTTTAAAATGGAAAGAAATTGAAGGTGTCGTGTTATATCCGTCAAAAGTGGGCCCCCACCCTGATTCCTTCTGGGAATCCGACGGTCAATAGCTCTCCATCAAATATCGAGAAGTTTGGGAGCATCATATTAATTAAAGGCTTCTCGATGTGTCCCACTTGGGCGAAAAGTAACTAATAGGGATATGAACTTTTATAGTTTCATCAATTAAGGATACAAACTGTTTTTTTTGTTAATCAAGGATTTAAGGTGAAAGTTACGAATCAAAGTTATTAAATGGTTAAACCCCCATTTTGGTCCCTCAACTATTGTACGGACCCCCGACTTAGTCCCTCAACTCAAAAAATCCCTGATTTGGTCCTTACTGTTTACCATTTTTATCCCAATTTAGTCCCTCCGTTAAAAATCCAATGACGTGTCATGTTAATTAACTGCAGCATGATGACGTGTCAAAATAACGTGCCACATCAGATCCACGCATGAAAAAAGTGATGACATGGAAAAAAATGTCAAAAAACTTTAAAAATTCTTCCTTTTTTTTTTTTTTTCTCTCTCCCTTTCTTTTCCCCTTCGAACCCAACGCTTACTGGGTTCTTTAGAATCCAGGAGGATGCCTGGGTTCGACCTCTTCCTCGGTTCGACCTCTTCTTGGGTTCAAAGGAACCGAGGGCCTGGGTTCGTTCGAACCCAAGAGGAGGACGAACCCAGGAGGACACCTGGGTTTGACCTCTTCCTGGGTTCGAACGAACCGAGGAAGAGAACAAACCCAGGCGTCCTCCTGGGTTTGTTCGAACCCAGGAAGACGCCTGGCTTCCTAGGTTCGAACGAACCCAAGAGCAAAAAGTAAAAAAAAAAATTCTATTTTTTTTTTCTCTGTGGATCTTGTTGTTTCATGATGATGAAAAATTGATTGATGAAGGAATTGAAGAGGAACTGGGAACTGGGAAAAATACAAAAAATTTCTCTTTTTTTTATCTGTGGATTCTTGCTGAGAAATTGAGAGAGCTCTGTTGTTCTAGGTTTGAATGGGAAGAAAGGAGGAGAAGGGTTCGAATGGGAAGAAAGGAGGAGAAGGGTTCAAGTGGGGCCCACTCCTTTTTTTTTAGTTTTGGATCAAAATCATACTGCCATGTCATTTTTTTTTACAGGTATGCATAAGAGGTGTCACTCTATTTAAACACGTCATCATGCTGCAGTTAATTAACATGACACGTCATTGGAATTTTAATGGAGGGACTAAATTGGGGTAAAAATGGTAAACAGTAGGGACCAAATCAGGGATTTTTTGAGTTGAGGGACTAAGTCGGGGGTCCGTACAATAGTTGAGGGACCAAAATGGAGGTTTAACCTTATTAAATCTTCAATTTTTGCTAATTAAGAATATTAACTCACCGACTTTCCTAGTTAAGGTTTTTTTTTTTTTTTTTATCTGCATAGCATGTTAAGGATCAATTGGTGTTAAAGCTAACACATTCACACCAATTTTCCCATATTCATATTGGTTTCTTTGGTTCTTTTCCTTTCTCTCTCTCTCTCTCTTTTTTTTTTTTTTTTTTGGCATTTTGTTGATGATTTTCAATGTTGCCTGAAACCAACCAACAATCTAAATAATTATGTTGTTTGAAACTATTTTTCTTTTGGAAAAGATGAAATTTTTTAAAATTTAAAATAATTATAACATTATTTATGTTAAATTACATGGTTGTTCACTCTTTTAAATTTTCTTATTCCTTTCTTATATTAATTTATGAGATGAAAAACTTAAATATTTTTAATAAATTAAATATTAAAGAAAATTATTAAGGATGTTTGAATTATTTCACAGATAGTTACAATATTTTAAATATCAAAATGTTTGTTTTCACTTTTCTCTTATTTTAAGTAAACGCTTTAAGGTTGCAATTTAACTTTCAAATCAATAAAAAATTATTGGTTG